TCGCCAAACTTTGCTCCAAATGGAACCACCTTGAGCTCGTTTGTAACCCTTCTTGACTTCGTGCTTAGTGATATCAAGTCGAACACCACGCCCAGCTCTACGTGCCTTAAGGGCCTTCTCGTGCGACGCGGGGTGAAGATGAATAACGCTGCCGCTACCCTTCAGTTCGTCAGCTGTTAGACTGAGTTTACCGGTCTTGACTGCTTTAGTCAGCTTCCGCTCTTGAACATTGCTAGAAATCGTTAATTCACGATACATGCTTATATTTTCTGAAACAAATTATTCTAGAATGGTCAAATTCAGATCTTTCATCTTTTTGAATATATTGGCTGCTTTGAATATAACCAAAGAAGACAGAAAGGCCCGCAATAGTCACCGTATGTCCCTTGGTATTGCTTACTATTGTAACGTTTAATTCCGTATTTTCGTGGAGGCCCTTCGCCCATACCATCAAAATATTCTCCGTTGTAGACTGCCGTCCAATGTCCTACATCGAGATTTGGTGGCCTCAATAGAATTAAGCATGCCCCTTTCTTTGAGAGCGGTTTTGTAATCTCACTAGATTCAAAAATATCATCAAGATGAACGCCTTATTCTTCGGCGAGTCCTATAAGATCGTAATAGGCTTGATAAGGTCGGTCATAATATTTAATTTTATGAAAACTATATTGAGGGACATATAGATTCAACAATGTCTGAAACACAACTCTCCGACCAATACCTATACCAAAGCTCGCTGACAAGCGATCCGGAGATCAAAGTATCATCCGGCAAGCGCGTGCCGTTCGTTATTGATCTAAACCAGGGTTCGTACCAGAATGGTGTTATTACGATTGACGCTACGGCTCAGCTGAACGGAAGTGAGGGATTTGCTCCGCTCCGCGATGCTTACATCATGCTTCCTTACAAGGTTACTATGAAAAACGATACTACGGCTCAGACAACAGCTGCGAATCGTTTCTGTGCTACTCTAAAGTGTGGAAACTGGGACGTCATTGATTCGATGTCTTTAGAACTAAATGGCAAGACTATTGTGAGTATGGCTGACTACAAACTCTTCTGGAATAACATCCGGGCTCAAACCGGCTATAGCTCTCAGTATGTTGAGAAGCATGGAGCGGAGTCGTTCCTTTACCCCGATGCTGCTCAGTCAGTTCTATACAGTAGCGCAGTCACTTCTACTACTGGTGATGGCTATTAGAACACTACAGCATTTTCTTCTTCGTTTGCTGCGACTGGACCATCCGGTGGAGCTTCTATTGCTAGCGATGGTCTTGTAAAGCGACTGCTATCAAACCCTCCATCTGCTGGTTCTGATTTCAGCGCTTCTTGGCCTTCCCTTGGAGCTGCTGCTGCTTCTACAACCATTGCTAACCAGACCGCGCGCGGTGCCTTTGTAACTGGAGCTGCTACTGCCAATGCAATCATAGGTACGTGGAACTACATGCTTAAGATTAAGTTAGCTGATCTTCACCCGATCTTTAAGGAACTTGATCTAATGGCGAATCCCCAGATCCGTCTTTGCTTCAGAGTAGACCAAGGTGTATCAGCGGTGGCTGTTGATGCTGGTAAGGGGATGAAGCTAACTTCAACTACTCTTGCATCGGGTAATACATGTCCCGTGATGGTTGCCGCCTCAAGCACTTGTAATCCAATGGCGAGTGTACTTGCAGCTTCTGCGCGTTTCAGTATCGCGTGGGGAGCTGTTGTAAACTCACTCGATCTTACTATTGATGGTACGTACATGCCTTTCACGACTGCTCGACTTTACGTACCATTCGTTCATTTAGAGAACCCCCAGGCAATTGTCTAAAACATGTGAAGAAGGTACGTTTCAACGATTGCTACGCTCAATGGTTTTACCAACGGGCTGGCACTGGTAAACAGTCGACACAACTAAACGCAGCTTTTGATCTTCAACTATCCGCTAGTGTAAAAAATGCGAAGTATGTCATTCTGCTCCCGTTTGCTGAGCAAACGAGTAACTTTAACTCTGCCCTCGTTCAAGAATTTCAACCTTGGACTCGGTCGCCCCGTTAGAAACTGCTCCTTGTACTTAGAAACGACTAAACCTATTCTCTTTGTTAAATTTAATTAAGAAAATAAACGGGCTGAGTTTTCGTCTGAATATTACTACTTTCATAACCATAAATCACGATGTGAAGGTTGTGCTTGAGTCATACAAATAAAGTGTACGGCAGCAAAGGTCAGTCTAGGAATCGGCATTGTTATGTTTTTTTGGTGGAGAAAAGAAAAAGCAGCTGTCATTTGCAAAAAATATCATTGGAGAAAATGCAATTAAATTTATTATTTTAACGATTGATTCTTGCAATGAAAAAAAAACTAGTAAACTCATTGCGACAATTTGCATGCTTTACAGCACTGATGTGTGACCGAACTTTTCCAACCAAGGTTATATATATATATATATATATTTGAATTGCCATGGTACTGATCGCAGAGAGTGCGGGTACTTCTGCACAGATCAAGGTATTGTTTGCGAAATTTGTTGCATTGATCGTTTGTAGTGCTGCTAGAAAGTGCTACTAATCTTTAAAAAAAACTTTAAATGATATATTTCTATCTTTGTTGCACGCAGCACTGAAAAACATGACTCATGCAATGAGACCAAAGTGCTACAAAGAAATTGTAGCAGAGTTCCTGAATTTCAACAACAACCGTGAGTATAAAGTCGGAGACAGTGCTTAGCGACCAGGAGCTGCCTAGCATCCCACCCGAGGACGATAGCAGATGGATGAACTTTGGAGCGTTTGGTGAAGCGTATCCCGGTGAGGACGCAAAAACCGCCTCTGCGAAGTCGTCTAGACTCGCCTATGCCAAGGGGGTATTTTTTCATTTATGCCTCGTGCTGCTGTTCGGTGGGACCCCGTGCGAAAGAAAGGCAGCCCCACTCACGCAGATCTGGTAGGTAAAGTCATCATATGAGACCTGGACGACACAGTCTCCGAAACCAGAAGTATTTTTAGTATTGATAGTCACACACCCGTTAAATGCTTGGTTGACATTTTTTTTCTAACGGAGTCCACAAAGTGTGCGAGCTCCAGCAATTCCCAATCTGCCAAGTGTGTATTGTGTTGACGCTTACTTCTTCCGTCGTGCTCACTGCCCAGACATCGTACGCGACCTCTGCAAGTGAACGAGTAGCAGACTTTCACTGTTAGGATATGAGCCCAAGATTGGAGTAAACTTCCAGAACTTACGTGAACGCTGACGATGTCGTGGACGCTACCTTCGATGTCAGACTTGGAACTCCGTCTGCGACCGCGTCGCGATGGTTGATGGCTGTATCAACGCCTAAAGCGTCAGCAGCGGCTGGACTGGTAGGTCCGCTGGTTAGTGGTGCTGGCGGGATTCCTGTCTTTCAGCCTCCACAGCCGCAGTCTGCTTCTGCGATGAGCTCACCACCTTCAACGCTCATTTTGACAGGAACTCCGGTGGTAAATGCTCCAGCGAGATTGCACGCTAATGGAGAACAACATCAAACGATACCATTGCCACCGCCTAACCTGGCGATGGATGCGGACAGAACCCCACCATAGATGACAGGAAGCTTTAACCTCTATCGCGCTCAAGTTATGGCCCATTTACATCGGTTTAATACTTGGGGTCTGGTCGATGGATCCGTACAGCGTCCGACTGTAAATGGGAAACTTCAACAACGCTACGACATGTTGGACCTCTTTGTTAAAGATGCGCTGCTTCGTGGTGCTAAAGTTGAAGACGCTGAGCGTATGTGTGATCTTTCAACTGGCAAGGAAATGTGGGAAGATCTGGAAGCACACCATACAAAACATGAATTTTCTAATTACGTGTGGGTATTGAAGCATTTTTTCCACGCAACTTACACTCGTGAGCAAACGATGCATTCTTGGCTTCAGGAGATTCACGACACACGTCAAGCGTTGGCTAACCTATGATGATCTCACTATGGACGTGATTCGCATAGGAGTAGTGCAGACACACAGATATGTCGTGTGTCAGTTTTCTCGTATCATGGCTCCCGGGTCCCAACCCACTCTGCAGCAAGTCTTGAACACACTGAAGTCCGAGACCGAGATGGATGAGGTCGTCCGCATTGAGGAAGAAGGTAATTCGCAGATCATGCACGTGGCTAAGAAACAGAAGACGGTTGACAAATCTAGTAAACATACAGCTAGATTAAACCCGGTGGAGCACAATCTGGTGGAGCTAAATCCAGTGAAGAAGGAAGCAAAGCCAATCCAAAATTTGGTCCTGGTAAACGAAAGAAGGGCAAGTGCTTCGATTGTGATAAAGAAGGCCATCACAAATTGAGTGTCGTAAGCTCAAATTTGATCTAAAGCACGGCAATGTAGGTACTGAAAAGGCAAAGTGTGGCAGCAATTCTGGGGATAGTTCCAGAGGATATGGGGGAAACAAAGGTGGACCTCCTTAGCCGTTACCATTGGGAATGATCGGTCGTGTTGAAAATACTTGTGATGTGTCAAGTACTGGGCCTACATTGTTGTCGACGTCTGATTCCTCTAATTCATTATTTTTTATTAGACACAGCAGCTATTACGCATATCTGCACTGACGGATCACTCATGACACAGTTCCCGCACTACGTGGAGACGAACACGCCGCATGAATGGTGGACAGGAGATGTAATAACGGACCATTTGGTATCTCAATTGACTGTATCATTCCTATCCACACTATATAGACGTGATGAAACTGGAGAAGCGCTTCATTGCGTTCTTACTGGAGTCCGTATTGTTGCTTGATGCCTCGTTAATCTGCAAAGTGTTAATGCAATTGAAGAGCAAGGCTGACAATGTGAGTCACGGTATCCTCAGGACGGACCTCCGAGACGGCTGTTATGGAAGGGACTGACAGCAATAGTGTTTATCAAGAGTTGACGTTACTATCGCACTCGTGGTTTGTGTAATTCACCTCAAGTTGTTGCGTCAGTTGTGGCTGGAGGTGAATCGACATTTCGGTGGCATCTTCTCTTTGGTCATGTAAAATTTTGCAGCATTGCAGCAGCTTCATCGTGATCAGATGGTTACAGGCATGAAAATATCTCCTAGTGAGCGCACTAGAGATGCGATGGGTTGCCTAAGCTGTACATGAGCGAAATCGCGAAGAATGTCATACAAGAACGTGTCTCCATGTCGATCAATGAGGTGTTGTGAAGTACTGATGGTCGATGTCTGTCACTATGGTGAGGCTTCGGTTGCTGGAAACGTGATGTTTCAGCCCGTGGAGAATGAATACCTACGATACCTCTGGGGCTTCTTACTCCGTCAAAAGTCTTAATGTTCATACAGCTTGAAGACCTTGATCTTACAGCTAAAGCAATGTGAGCGACCTGTCAGAATCCTGGGGTCTGATCAAGGAACTGAGTTTGTAAATCAAAAACTACAACAAGTCCTCTGAGACAATGGAGTTCGTCCGGTGTATACAAATAGTATACACCCGAGGAAAACAGTATCGTGGAAAAGATGAATGGTGTAGTACTGCGATCCGTTCGCGCTCTCCTCGTAACCAGTGGACTTCCGACAAAACTATGGGGAGAGGCATTCAAGTTTGTGGTAACAATACGCAACTTCTCACCATCCAAAGCCATTGAAGGCAGTACACCTTACGAGTTATTCGGAGGTCGTAAACCTGATGTACCTGGTCTACGTGTGCGGGGCTGTGCTGCAGCGTATTTCGTCCTTAAGCAAAGACGAAAAGGTAAACAAGATACGACAGTGAAAGAAGCATTATTTCGAGGATACCCTAAATCCACGACTGGATATCGTGTCCTCGATCTTGTTACCGGACACATTGTGGTGTCACGTGACGTAAGGTTTCGCGAGCAGTGGACAGTGGCGGCTGATTATGTGGATCAGTTGTTTGAGACGTTCTACCCGAAGAAGTCTGGTGTGGTGCTACATGTTTCAATCCCGTATGCGAAGCTTCCTCTTCATGACTACTCGAGCTCCTGTAGCAGCGATGGAACTGCACTGGCGTTGCATAGCTTCGATGAAGTCGGTCCTATGGATGCTAAGGTTTGAGGCGATGTAGTGGAAGAGAAAAAAAAGCTAGAAAAGCGGGGGAGCTTGAGCTCGATAAAAACAACACGAGTCCTGCGAAACGCAGACGAGTGGGGGAGCTGGCCCAGACTTATGATACTCCAAATTGTGACTTCACTTCTACAATTCGTGTCGATGGACATGAAGATAATACAATATGTACAATTCATGTTGGAAAACGCGACAACCGGGTCTGGTTGAAATTAAACGACGTCGGAAAACATACACCAAATACCCAGTTGTTACGATTCGCAGATCGATACGTACACGTCTTTCAAACGTAAGGTTACATGGCTATTAGATTTCCAATTACTTTATCTCAACTACGGACAAGCTGCCCAAGTCAGTTCGTACAGCTCTTGCAGGCCCTGATGGTGATGTATGGTGGCAAGCTTTGCAAACAGAGTTCTTTGATATACAAGCGAATTACACATGTATTTTAGTGAGCCGTCCATCGAGCACTAAGGCGATGAGCAGTCGCTGAGTGTTTGTCATTAAAAGGAGACAAAACGGAGAGATTGTACGCTACAAAGCTCGACTTATGCTCCGGGGTTTCGAGCAAGTGCTTGGTTCAGACTGCAGGGAAGTATACGCGCCGGCTGTGAGCATGGAGGCAATCCGTGTTGTCATTGTGCTCGCATTCTACTTTGACTCGGAACTTCGCCAAATTGACTTTACTACGGTATTGCTAAACGGTGAGATGGATGTCAAAGTGTATATGAAACAGCCAGAGCTGTTCGGCGACGGAACTGGATGGGTGTGCCTGTTGACGAAGAGCTTATATGGCTTAAAGCAGACTCCTCTTATCTAAACCGCAACGCTGAAGAGATATCTAGTGAAGCTTGGCTTAAAACCAAGCATAATTGCAGATGGC